TGACATAGCAGAAATAAAGAATACATTGGAAGGAATAAACAGCAGATCAGAGGAAGCTGAGGATCGGATAGGTGAATTAGAAGACAGGATAGAAAAAAAATCACTCAATCAGAGAACCAAAACAAAACAATTAAAAAACAGGAGGGCAGCCTAAGGGAGCTGTGGAACAACAAGAAACTTAACAATATTTGCATTATAGAAGTGCTAGAGGAGGTCAAAAGTAAGCAAGGGTTAGAGAAATAATGGCAGAAAACTTCCCTAACTTAGTCAAGGAAAAAGTCACACAAGTTCAGGAGGCACAGAGAGTCCCAAGCAAGAAGAATCCAAAGAGGCCCACACTCAGACATATCATAATTAAAATGCCAAGAATTCAAGACAAAGAGAGAATCTTACAGGAAGCTAGAGAAAAGCAATCTGTTACCTACAAAGGAGCTCCCATAAGGCTGTCAGCTTACTTCTCATCAGAAAGTCTACATGCCAGAAGGGAATGGCATGAAGTATTCAAGGTAATGCAAAACAAGGATCTGAAACCAAGACTACTCTATCCAGCAAGGTTATCATTCAAGATAGATGGTGAAATAAAGAACTTCCCAGACCAAAAAAAAGGCTAAAGGAGTTTATCACTTCCAAGGCAGCATTGCAAGAAATGTTAAAGGAAGTGGTATAATTAGAAGTGGAACTAGAGAGAAAGGAAAACATAGGGATAAAGACTTAAAATGGCAATAAATAAGTATCTATCAATAATAACCTTAAATGTAAATGGGTTAAATGCTCCAATAAGAAGACACGGGGTAGCTGAATGGATAAGAAAACATGACCCACATATATGCTGTCTAAAAGAGACTCACCTCAGAACAAAAGACTCACACAGGATGAGAGGGAAGGGATGGAAAACATTTTTCCATGCAAATGGGGGGAAAAAAGCTGGGGTAACTGTGCTCACATTGGACAAAATAGGCTTCAAAATGAAGACCATAACAAGGGACAAGAAAGGTCACTACATAGTACTAAAAGGACTGATCCAACAAGTGGATATATCCCTGATAAACATATATTCACCTAATATAGCAGCACCTAAATATATAAAAACCTTCTAGAGGACTTTAAGGGAGAGATAGGCAGCAATATAGTCACACTAGGAGAATATAACACCCCACTGATTTCACTGGAGTGGTCTTCCAGACAAAAAATCAACAGGGAAACAGTGATCCTAAATGACACACTAAATCAGATGGATTTAATTGACTTTTACAGAACGTTCCACCCCAAAGCTGCAGAATATACATTCTTTTCAAGTTCACATCAGTAGATGAGTGGATAAAAAAGCTGTGGTACATTTATACCATGGAATACTATGCAGCTATAAAAAAGAATAACTTATCCTTTGGGACATCATGGAGAGAACTGGATAGTATTATGCTCAGCGAAATAAGCCAGTCAGAGAAAGACAAGTACCACATGATCTCACTCATATGTGGAATGTAACAAACAAAATAAAGTGATGAACAAAAACGATCCAGAACATAAAAGCATGGAACAGACTGTGCGGTCTCAGAGGGAAGGTGGGGGTTGGGGAGTGGGTGGGGAGAAATTAATCAAAGAACTTATATGTTTATAAGCATAAGCCATAGGCACAGACATTGGTATGGGGAAGGCCTGGGAGGAGGGTGGATGCAGGGTGGAGGGGATCAGTGGGGGAAAAGAGGGACATCTGTAATAGTTTCAACAATAAAGATGAATTTTTAAAATAAATAAATAAACTATAAAAAAATTAAGTTGCAATTATATTTATGTAACTGTTCTCAGGCTAAAACTCAGGACTTGAGATTATTATTTAAAATTTTAATGAGTCAGAATCTTGATATTTTGGCACTTAAAGTAGCAAATAGTTTATTTTTTGTAGCCTTGAATTTTTAATTAAATTTTTTGGAGCGATGATGGTTAATATACAATATAGGTTTCAGGTGTGGGTTTCTATGTTACAAGATCTGCATATTGCACTGTGTTCCCACCACCAAAGTCATATATTCTCCCATCGCCATATATTAAGAATCTCTTCCTCTTCCACCCCCTTCCCTCTGGCTACCACCACACTGCTGTTTGTGTCTATAAGTTTTGGTTTTATATCCCACATATGAGTGAGGTCATATGGTTCTTAGCTTTTTCTGACTGACATTTCGCTTACCATAATATTCTCAAGGACCATCCAAATTTGTTGCAAATGGCAGTATTTCATCTTCACCCAAGGA